GGGAAACCATCATAATATTACACTCAATGTAACAATCATTGGTGACTATGCTGAGTAGTTGCTCCGCTTCGCTCAGGTGTTAATGATAGTAAATCTTGGCTTCATTGACAAACATGTCATTTAATCAATACCACCATTCAACCATCTTGAATTAGATCATGAAGTGAATGGCCATGTATATGAATACCAAGATGCATGATGTATGTGTTATTTGAATGTGATCAGTGCAAGGAATATCTGAGATAGAGGTAAACAACTATTAAGCAATGAAATATAACAAACTCACCTTCCATGCAATTAGAGCGGAATTCTAAGCAGTATTTGTTGTTACTCATTTTCGTTTTGATGATGGTTTCTACTTCAGTAAAGATGATGTTCACATTTATGTTGTTACTCAGAGATCCCTGGATATTTTCTGATAAAAAACAAAATACACATATAATATAGTGCAAAGCGCTTCATTTTCACAAGTGGATAATAATGCATTAAATGCTATATTACAAGAACACATGCTAACAGAAATGACCTAGTACGGTATGCAATGTTTGGATTTATGTGAACTTTCTTTTAGAGATGAGCATTTAATATAACAAATACAGCAATGGACCAAAAGACAATTTGTGGGTTTCAAGTGTGCATAATACGTTGTTCAATTTCATCAGTGACACTGAAGGCTTGTTCAAAGTTTGTCCATGATGCGTTACCATCAATGACGCATTACTCAAAATTGTACAAAATAACTGCACATTTCAAGATTTCATTCACAAGTTGAACGCAATATCACAAGTATTATCTTGCTAAAACTACAATAAATGACTATGAGCAAGAATGACAAATGGCAGGTAATTATGATGTATTCTGACAAAAATATCATATAAAACAAAAACCTACAAATGGTCTATTGCCAAGATTTAAACACAGTACTGTAAAATCTGTATTAAAAACCGTGGCTTCTATTAAAATAATACAATGCAACAGAGGGGATACGGCTTCTATTAGAGCATCTACACATTTTGAATTTTCGGTTCTCAATTATTCAAAAAGAATGGGTGCGACTTCCAATACAGATTTTACGGTAGTGTCAAATCAAATTTTGAAAATATTTGGACAGCCAGCAATAAACAAGTAAAACATTGAATACTGATGGAAAAAACACTACACAGCACTGCAATATGAAACATGTCAAATTAATGAATTTTTTTAGAACTCTCAAAAGTGTTATAACAAAACACTATAGACAAAGAATCATATACTGAAATACTGCTTTAATGTTTAATGTAAAATGTTTTAAAAGAAAATATGACAGAGTTATTTTCCGATAACCCACTGTGACATTTACCTTTACAGGAGACATATTGTGATAAGACACCAACATCAAATGCAGCAAATACCGGATGGTGATCACTTGATAAAATATCATTGGTACAACCTGTTAATAAAATGTCATAATCAACATTTGATCCATAGTGAAATAGACAAGTCATAAAGACATACATATGTATGTTGATTTGTTTTTTGTTCCAATGATTTTTGACTTACTGGCTGCATTTATAAGCACAAAAAATACCATTTATACATGTCATTAAATGTTTTTCATTTGTATGGGCTGATTTCATTCAAATTTGGTATTGACATCACTTATAGGTTACTGATGCAATTCATTTAGTTAAGCCTATTGATTCAAAATGGCTGACTGGTAGCCATACTGATTTTGAAGTGACAAATTTTGTTTCACTGATCAATTTAACCAACTGAGCAACCATTTTTTTATTTTTCAATTGTCATTGCTCATTTCTCTAACACACTGAACCAATTGAGTTTAAATTTGGTACAAAAGCAAGACATGTTAATTTTTTTGTTTCAAATTTCTTAATATTTCTTTACCTTTTTGCATCCTGCAATGCATTCAAATACAGATGAACTGTCACAGATAATGACTTGTTTACTTGTTTTTCAATTCAAAATTAAATATGACAAAATAAAAATTTGACTAACCATATGCAGTATTCTTGATGTATACCTCGGGATAAGATCTCCACAACACCCTATCACACCAAGATGGAGCATTGATGCGAATCTGCAATTCAAGAAAATTATATTGTGACACAACTAACATTCGACTGCTATTCTCAATCCTCCAATGCACTTCTAATAGAGCAAATATGGTGTCGTAAATTTATTTTGAATTTTCGCTTTTCAAATTTTGGGAAGGACATTTTATACACTCGTAGGACGCCAGAGAAATGTTCACTGCTTTTCGTGAGAATTTGTCTGTCACGAAATCAAAGCAGTTCTTCCTCTTGTAGTGCAATATACAACACACATTATGTACTGTGCTACCATGGAAACACTTCCCCTAGTAGTGCTATAGACAACACACATGATGTACTGTGCTGCCATGGAAACGCTTCCCTTTGTAGAGCAATATACAACACACATGATGTACTGCATTGCCATGGAGACACTTCCCCCTTGTAGTGCAATATACAACACACATGATGTACAGCATTGCCATGGAAACACTTCTGC